AAACAAATTAGGCTGTACTGTGTGTATGTAAACTTTCTTGATGCGTTTTTTGGGGTTTTTCTCTTTCGCAGCGACAATGCCAAGCATAGGGGTAAATTTAACGGGATTAAGATAATGCATCACAATGCACGAATGTTTATTTATCTATTTAGCAAAAAAAATCAGTCGAATGAGACTAGAAAATGTATGTGCGAAAATGTTTTAGTTAAGAATAAAGGGTGTATGTAAACTTCATTGGTCCACTGTAAGTAATTGAAAAAATATTTTACCTTTTTTTCTAACTGCTTTGGTTCAAATATTTTTAGCAAAGAATATTTTTCTCTACGGTGTCCGACTTTGGCTTGGAGCCACTGTACATATGTACATGGCGTGAGTCTACTTACCGTGCGTTTCTGAACTGTGATATAGTCTCAAGTCTCTAAATTTGAGATTTTAAATTAGAGACAATTTTTGAGACTTGAGACGATTTTGCTATTCTGTAAGTGACAGTCACAAAATCTATTACATTTAATAATTCAGAGATGTTTTTAAACTTGAATGAAAATAAATATGTCGGTAACAAATATTATACTTTCTATAACATAGTCAAAAAACATAATTATCAATAAATATGTTGAGTTTGTGTCCTAATATTTACGAAATTTATGTTAAACTGATTTATTTTTAACCTTTTCGGGTTTGAGTTGCCTACAAAATATAAAAAACGACAATCGATTAATATGTATGATGTGATTCTATTCAGTATATTCAAAATGGCAGACAAGAGTTCTTTTTGGGTTTGTGACCTGCTCACTGACCAGGTCTCAAATTTGAGGCAATATTTTGTGACTAACGCTCAAGACTGTTTAGTGAATAGTAACTGGTCACATATTGAGATTTTACCTCAAAATGTCTCAATTGGAGACTGGTTATAGAATCCCGCTATTAGTCTTCGAATTTTTATACTTTTATTAGTTATGTGAGGTTTCATGACTGATTGTCGTTGTAAGCGTGTTTTTTTATCGGTTGGAAATGCTCCTTTATTTTTAATATCCAAAATATATACTGTTTTTAGCACAAAAAAAATTTAGTTTAATATTTTTTTTATACATATATTAAATTTTTTTTGTTTATAAATGACTTGTCTTAAAATTTTTAATTTATATAGTTTCACAATTAATTATTTCGCGTTTTCATAGCTTTGTAATAAAAACTATTAAGGGATGTTACGTGTATGTAATATGTACACTTTTAAAATTAATTTTCAGTATTTTATGTGTAAACAGTTAAGAGATGAAGTGCGTTTGTGCAAAGAACTGATGATATATTTACCTTTTTCATTTTAGATGTCTAAAGCTCCTGCTGTTGGTATTGATTTGGGTACTACCTACTCTTGCGTGGGTGTATTCCAACATGGCAAGGTTGAAATTATAGCCAATGACCAGGGTAATCGCACCACCCCATCATATGTTGCCTTCACCGAGACAGAGCGTCTGATTGGTGATGCTGCCAAGAATCAGGTTGCCATGAACCCCACAAACACCATTTTCGATGCCAAACGTTTGATCGGTCGTAAATTCGATGATGCTAACGTGCAATCAGATATGAAACATTGGCCTTTCGAAGTGGTCAATGTTGACGGCAAACCAAAGATCAGTGTCTCCTACAAGGATGAGAAAAAGACTTTCTTCCCTGAAGAAATCTCATCTATGGTGTTGACTAAAATGAAGGAAACCGCTGAGGCTTATTTGGGCAAGACAGTTACCAATGCTGTTATCACCGTGCCTGCTTACTTCAACGATTCTCAACGTCAAGCCACCAAAGATGCCGGTACCATTGCTGGTTTGAACGTATTGCGTATTATTAACGAGCCAACTGCGGCTGCTATTGCCTACGGTTTGGACAAAAAGGCTGTTGGTGAACGCAATGTGTTGATTTTCGATTTGGGTGGTGGCACTTTCGATGTGTCCATTCTCTCAATCGATGATGGTATCTTTGAAGTTAAGTCAACCGCCGGTGACACACACTTGGGTGGTGAAGATTTCGATAATCGTCTCGTCACCCATTTCGTTCAGGAATTCAAGCGCAAGCATAAGAAGGATCTTACCACCAATAAGCGAGCTCTACGCCGTCTACGTACCGCATGCGAACGTGCAAAGCGAACATTATCTTCTTCTACTCAGGCCAGTATTGAAATTGACTCTTTGTTCGAAGGTGTCGATTTCTATACCTCCATCACTCGCGCCCGTTTCGAGGAATTAAACGCCGACTTGTTCCGTAGCACCATGGACCCCGTAGAGAAGGCTTTGCGTGACGCCAAATTGGACAAGTCTGCTATTCACGATATTGTATTGGTTGGTGGTTCGACCCGTATTCCCAAAGTGCAGCGTTTGTTGCAAGATTTGTTCAATGGCAAAGAGTTGAACAAGTCGATCAACCCCGATGAGGCTGTTGCTTACGGTGCTGCGGTACAAGCTGCTATCTTGCATGGTGACAAGTCACAAGAAGTGCAAGATCTGTTGCTTCTCGATGTTACTCCCCTATCGTTGGGTATTGAAACAGCTGGCGGTGTGATGAGCGTGTTGATCAAGCGTAACACAACCATTCCAACGAAACAGACTCAAACATTCACCACTTACTCTGACAACCAACCTGGTGTGTTGATTCAAGTTTATGAAGGCGAACGTGCCATGACAAAGGACAACAATTTGCTTGGCAAATTTGAACTTTCTGGAATTCCACCAGCACCACGCGGTGTCCCACAAATTGAAGTGACCTTTGATATTGACGCCAACGGTATCTTGAATGTAACTGCTCTGGAACGTTCCACTAACAAGGAAAACAAGATAACAATCACCAACGACAAGGGTCGTTTGTCGAAGGAAGACATTGAGCGTATGGTGAACGAAGCTGAAAAATACCGTTCCGAAGATGAGAAGCAAAAGGAAACAATTGCTGCCAAGAACTCGTTGGAATCTTACTGCTTCAACATGAAGGCCACTTTAGATGAAGAGAACATGAAAACTAAGATCTCCGAATCGGATCGCACTACTATTTTGGATAAGTGCAACGAAACCATCAAGTGGTTAGATGCCAACCAGTTGGCTGAGAAAGAGGAATATGAACACCGGCAAAAGGAATTGGAATCTGTATGCAATCCGATCATCACCAAGTTATACCAGGGAGCCGGTGGTGCTCCTGGGGGAATGCCCGGTGGCATGCCTGGTGGTTTCCCAGGAGCTGGTGGTGCTCCTGGTGCTGGTGGCGCTGGTGCAGGTGCTGGACCAACCATCGAGGAAGTTGACTAAACAATTAGTCGAAACAATATTATGCAAACACAAAAATATATGAGCAACAATTCTAAATAAAGCGAATGTTTCAATATATATGTAAAGATTGTATTATTTATCCACAGAAACGTATTTTAATCATAAATGTTTTCCAAAAGGTTACGTAATTGACGTAATTGGTTGGGTTTTTTGATTTTCAAGCTTTACGAAGGCGGTACAGTCGTAATTCCGTCTTTACTGCAGTGGGTAACCGAAAGGGCCCGCTCACTAAACACCTATCGCGAAAGTAATCTGATAACTCTTCTTTCCCCCAATATTGAAGTCACTTCAGGCCTTGCTACTTCCGACCTTCACTCACCAAGTGAGTAGCGGATCACCGGCATGGCTTCTACAAAGTGAACAGCACCACCTCAGCTCTTAGAGTCATAGTTCATAGTCTCAACCAGAAGCCACCCTGTGAGAACGATCTTCGTGGCGTTGGACTCAATCCACATTTCTTACAGGGTTGAAGATGTGGACTATGAACTACATGAGAGGCGGGCACTGTATCCGCACTGTTTCGAGATGAAAATTCTAAATTAAGAAGCATTATAGGGGGCTACCGCAAGGTGGTGTCCTCTGCCCGCTGATGATTGCACGATAACGAAGTCGGGCAATTAATTAGGTGACATGTGTTCAAAGTACGCGGCTATCTCCCCGACCTTTCTCGCTTCTTCGCTGCAGAGAGCCTAACACTATCCCTCACTAAATCGAAAGCGGCCATATTCACAAACTGGAAAAATAAGTACAGAGTTTACCTTAATATTGCAGTCGATTACGTTAAAATTCCTACTGTTAATAAACCCAAGATTTTAGACATGACAGCCTATGCTCTTTCACTCCTCACACGACTGCGATTTTTGCCAAAGTACAGTCGGAATAAAGTCGCCAGCTAGTAGCATGGGGGGAAAGACAAACGTTGTTGGCAATATATAAGGCAATCGGCCGGTCGGTACTTAACTACGCCGCACCAATAAAAGACTTGTCAGAACAGTGTATTCCGGACTATAACGGAATGCCTCCTCATGTCTCCGATCGAACACCTACACAGTAAGACTTAAGGAACTCTTCTCTAAACAGTTTCTGCTAGAGTGTTTTCGTAGTGCTTCGTAGTCCCCTTCTTGAAGCGGGACCGGCTCCTAAGAACATCAAGAGACATTTTTTAACTAAGTTTACGCGGGCCTACCATTGGAAAAACAATAATAATTTTATAAATATCTTCTTTATTGCACGAAATTCCTTAAATACATTTAGGGTGTGCTCTATTTAATCAATCCATGCAAAATTGATATCCTTGTCAATTTGTTTCGTTGAAATCACTGGTAATTCTTTAATGTTCGGATTGTAAAACGCGGGAGTAATTTGAGTATGCACATTACGATCCGGGTCTTTCTTGATATATACCGTTTTTAATTTGTTACTAAAAGTATTGCCAACCGTTTGCGCCTTACGATCGGGCGATGTATGAATCTGTTTGAGTATATTGTGCTCCTCTGTGGCAAATTGCTCTTGCACATGCTTGGGTAAATGTGGTCCCATTTGTTCAAGATATCGCTGCCATTCTAATAATTTATCTTCGGCAGCGCGTAGCTGTTCAATGCTCTTCTCATGACCTGGATTTAGACCAATTGGCTGAATTCCGGCGACTTCTTTGAGGTTCACCTTAATCGGTGCTAATGCGGAAATGGCACGAGACAAACCGATTTGTGAGTGGCGAATTCGGTGTTCCATTAAATCAGCGCCGAGCAACTCTTCATTTGGATCCATGCGTAATGGTATAAATTTGTTGATAATATACAGTAGTAGAAACGTTGAACATATGCCCCAGCAGGCAAGGCATAGTGCCGACAAAGTCTGTATGCCAACCAAGTACCAACCGCCACCTTTAAACAGTCCTGAACGTCCCTTCGTTGTCTCTAACGGTACAGGATTGTCAGCGAAAAGTCCAACCGCGATAACACCCCAAATGCCACAAACTCCGTGAACAGAGCTTGCACCTACTGGGTCGTCGACTCCTAACCGGTCGAACAACGGCATTGCGACAACGCAAAGTAAGGCACCCAACATCCCAATGACTAGTGCCTCCCAAGCACGATATAGAAAACACCCAGCCGTAATTGAGACCAGTGACCCGAGTACACCGTTAATAAGGTCAATAATGTCCATACGACCATCATGACGCCAAAGCGAGTATCTTTGATAAAATGATAATTTTGTTAAATAAATTAATCACAAAATACTACAATTCACAACTTACGCGCAACTTATGATACCACCACCAAATGAACCCATCATAGTCATGACAGCAGCACGTGCAGCGTATTGCCATTTGGCACCACTTACACCATATGTACTGCCGGAATTAAAAGCTAGCCATCCCCACCAGAGCACAAATAGACCCATGCATGCGTTCACAGGATTACCAAGTGGCAGAGGATCGTAGCCGTCTGCGTAGCGACCCAAACGTGGACCCAACATAGCAGCAGATGCAAATGCGGCTGCACCTCCTAATAGCAGAAGAAATTCTGTCAGTATAGGTGACTTTCAATAAACATCCTCCAGCATTCAATTGAAAAAATATTAGATTGAAAACGACTCGATGTGTATTATATCAAAAGTGGATGTAATACAGTTTTTCCACGTCGAAGGTTAGACACTGTCAGCCGAGAGGTTACCATTACTATACATAAAAAGAAAACTTTTATATTCTCCAGCATTGGAGATCATAATACCCCATATGGTAGTCTCGGTTAGGTTCACTACCATTGATCTCTTGTTAGCTTTAGATGCTTCAATAACAATATAATATATAGTAGTGTACAGGGGTTAATCATACTTACCAATTAAATGTACGGGTCCACTTCCCGCTATATCAACAGCTCCAAGATTATTGAGGAAGCCATGTTCACCCCACACCCAACCGGCGGGTATACAGTAGACAGCAGTATTTAATAACGAAAATATACAGTACGCTTTGAAATTGCATCTAAAGTTGAATAAAAGCGCATACACTTATTATTAGGCAAGTTAGAGGTCAAGCACAACCAAACAAATATTTTATATGAACGCACGGTATACTTTATAAGATTGATTGGAATTCAAAAGGGGGTTATACGGGAAATATCCATCCTCATTCTAACATATATTATGCGAGGATGTGTTTGATTCAAATTACACTATACTCAAGGAAACGTCACTATTCAATAAGATTTCATTAAGGTTCTCCCTTCTACAAGTTTGTCCGGAAAGGAATATGACTGAGTCAATTTAAAAAAAGTTATTGAACCAATCGTTACAATTCTTTAAAAACTTTAAAAAAGGGTCAATGCATTGCTGCCAAGGCGATTTCCAAGCATTGAAGGCGTCACGGAAGACATTCTCCGGAATAGATTTGAGAGCCGAGATGCATGCTGCTTGAATCCCTTCCGTCGTTTCAAATTGCTTGCCTTTCACCAGCCTTTACCGGCAAGGAAATAAAAAAAGTCCGGCGAGGCCACATCTGGGCTTTAGAGCGGCTGCGGAGGCATTGGGATCGGCTTCGATGTTTTTGCCTGAGTAACCTTTCGTTTGAGGACTTCCAGGTAAATCTTGGCGTTGATGGTTTGTCTAGGAGGAACAAATTCATGGTGGACGATGCCTTTGGATTAGCTCATTTATCAGCGACCTCTTCCCGGCCCTCCAAAAAGGCCTGGTGCCATTGAAACACACCACTTCTTGCTAAAGGGTTGTAAGCCTGCTTGAACATATCAAACGTCTCTCTCGCAGATTTACGGAGTTTCACTTTGCTCTAACGAACGCTGACCAACTGACCAGCCGCTCATTCGTTAGATAGGAACGGCCTCTACCGAGTCCAGTCAAAGCGCGCTCGCTGCGAAGTACAGTTCCGGCAGAGAAAATTCAGTCCTATTATTTTCCGGACAAACACTGTATACTGCATAAAGTTCACCGCAAGGATACAGGTAATTTGGTTTAAGAGAGATTGATACAACAATACAATCATTTTAAAAATAAAAACCTTAGCGATATCTTGACCCTCACCAGAGCACGGAAATAATTACAATGGGTATAGTAGGGATCGGTATATTCGTTATTAAGAGCATAATTTTAGATTCTTCAACTGAGCCTAGAGGAAGATATTGTCCGATTTTGTTTTGCTTTTGTGAATATAACCAACCAAACTTCAATTTTTTCCGGCATGGTATGACCCATATTCTTGCTTTTATGTAAAAATACTACATATTTGGAATATTATGAGTTACTTAATAATTCTATAAGGAAATATATTTATAGTATACATATATGTACGATGTGCTATACGAAACGTAAAAATTAAATTTGATTATTTCAAGGTACCTTTCTGCCATGGCGCCACTTACAATCGTTGTTGCTGTCGTAGCAAAGGACAACTGAAATAAAAATGCAGCAAAAATTTGCCCCATTAAGGGATCACCCACAGGTGGATCCAGTAGAAAATCTCCAACGGCTATGAATGGATTCGAAAGTGGTCCACGGCCGTAACTCATGCCATAACCGAAGAGCCAGTAGGTAAAGCCGCCAAGTACAATATCAATGACGTTCTTCATCATGATGTTGACCTCATTTTTAATCGACACACAACCCGACTCAAGCATGCCAAACCCTATGAGAGATATGAAAAAAATTTAAAAAATATATAATCCTAGTAGATTCGGCCACGCGTTGCTGTGACTATAGCATACATTAAATATGAATTACGAATAGCGTCGAAAACGGACGGAAAACAAAAATTTTTTAATTTCGAAGACGTGCCTATGCTAACAAATATAAGTATTTCATATTTATGAATTGCTCAGACTGGTAATATAATTGAGATATAAACTATGTATATTGAATAGTATATTAAATTGATTAAACTAAGCCAGAGTGTTTTAATTTTTACCAAATTGCTTCAGTAGCTTAGGAGTTTATCCCGGACCAACGTGACACCTAATTTATATTTATAGGTGTACATATGTATATCCTTTTAGATTTTATAAATATATTCTTCAATAGTATTAGGCCTTATTCGATTCACAAGTTCTTTGTTCGTTATATTTGAGTTTTGCTCTCTTGTAAATAATATGCAGGAGGAATTAAAAATAAAGTTTTTAAGTTGAATTCACCTCAAAAGAGTCTGTGCATATCTTATTTGTGATGTAACATCCTTCTCATCTAAAGTCATAAGAGTCAAACTTGCCATAACTTGCTGAATTCCAGCGGAACTTCCGAAAAATAGTTGGGAGTTTTTGGGATGACTAAAAGGAAACTGCCTCGAACTGTTAAGTTTAACGTTTTTTACGGTACATTTTGTCAATAAATTGAATCTTAACGTTTTAAGATTTCTAGTTAGCGGATCTATGAAAAAAGTTTTACCGAAATCTGGAAACTTGCTTCGAAGAACACACTTTTATCTAAATCTTAGCTTCAAACTTACCAGTTTGCATTGTGAAAATGATGAACGACGACGTCAACACCCAATTGGTATCCTCCACGCTAAGGTCGTATAATCCTGGTATGACATAACTACTGTTGCGTATAATGCCCTTTAACGCAGTGGCTTGGGATGCTGAGACATTTGTCACTTTTGAAGTCATTGTGCCTCTGCGTTTAGGTAAATTTTCATGCTTGAATGCAAAAGGATACTTCTCAGATTTTTTTGGGAATGTCGAAACTCCGCCAACTGAGAATAATGCATGTGTTTTAAGTACTTTACTGACTGTGACTGACAGGTGTTTCGCAACTTTTCTGTTTGCGGTATATTTTAAGTCGCTTCGTGTTCGTGGCTCCTTGTAAATAATGGCTAGCAAATCGTTTTTTTAACTTCACTAACAATAACAACCATTACTAGTTACACCTATGCGGACAACAACAATTATGCATTCACATTTGAATTAACTGCACCAAATTATCGTGGTTGTGCTTATTTGAAAACACAAACCTTTGCACATATGTATGTATGTACATAAGGACGTGTGTTGCGTGATTCGGCCTGAGCGCTACACCCGGTTTTAACAGTGTTTGGCCCCCAGTAAGTATCGGGAAACGTACTAATGCATTTCTGACGTGAATAAGTGTCTGCAATTTATACTTAAAACTACCTCAAATATCAATAATAAATAACTGAAAAATCTCCATTCCTATGAAGTTAAAATAAGCGATATCGTTTTACTTTATCACCGTCTTTGTTTTCTATAGATAGAATAATATAATTATAACAAACTAAATATACTAACCGGTACATACATATGTCTCTACATACATATATAAATATACTATTTTTCATATACATATAATAAGTTTAGCTTAGCTAGCTTAGCGTACTCAACTTAACATAAAAGCCCTCCCAATTAAGCTTGAATTGTCAACAAGTTTGCATGCTAACACCGTTATCGATAAAAGCGCAGGCTTATAAAAAGAGTGTAAGTTAATCTGAAAATCACGTTATTATATAAGTTAAAAGAAAAAATAAATATATTTTATTGTTCTTTCTGAATTAATTCGATTCAGTGTAATATTTTTATGTTTATTGTATTGAATTTTGCTGTCCAATTTCAGCCCACTTCCACTTTGAAGGTATTCTTATTCATTCATCAACATCCGACTTGAGTACATTAAAAGTAACCTACGAATATTTGCATGTATTTATAAATAATTGAATCGGTAAGAGTGTACCTGAAAACTTTTACCGCGTAGATAATATAATATTTATCTATTTGGAAGGAACGATTAAATTAAATTACCCAAAGATTAACTTCGTTCCGTTTGCCCCTAATCGTTCTGGTTTGGCGACTCGACCACCCGTGACGCCAAATTGTTGTTGCATACGGCGAATCGAATTTAACAAATCATTAACGGTTGTATACATGCTGCTGTTCATGCAATTCTATGAATGAGTACAAGTATGTATGAATGAGAAGTCTATCCGAGAAAAACGTTAACTGATTTCTCTTATTTGTCATTAAATAGTAAATTTTCCAGAGTACATACACATAAATATATGCGCATACATATATATGTAAATGTATGTATATATGTACATACATTACAGAGAAATTCCACATAACCGAACACCGACCGTTGCAGTGTTTTTTTTTGTCAAAAATGTGTGTTTAAAAAGTATTATTAGAGTCAGAAGATGCAGCTCAGAACTACATATATTTCTACTGAACTAATAAGTGCGAACCAATGTCAGACTGGAGTGGATGAATGAAAATTAGCCCACTTAGCTTTCTTCTTAAAAAAACTTGCCCAAGACAGCAAAAATTAATAAGAATTTAAAAAAGCGGGAACTATAAATTGTACACAATTTTCTTGACAGATTTGAATACGAAATATCCGTCTGGTTATTGGAACGTACTTATGTATGTCCGATTATGGGAATTGCTTTTGTATAAAATAATAATGAAAACTTTGTGTCCATGAAATTTGTCCAGCTATGAGGAGTGGCCGACTATGGGACTGCCCGTAATGAGAAATTTCACTGTAACTTATTTCGAATTATGTTGAAACTTTCACCGGATATACATATGTATATAAAATTATTTAAATTAAAGCACAATTTTCCACTGTCCTCTAAACTGTTCATGGTGCATTTGCTTAGTTTTGCAATTGTTTTATCCAATCAGAACGTTTGAATATTGTTGCCATATTTTTATGCTTTTATCAGTAATTTTTCTGGGTTTCTTCACAAATCAATAAATTTTCGTTATATTATAAAAAATTAATAGTAATTCTCAAATGGTTGGACTCTAATTTTCTGGAAGGACTTGTTTTAATTACAATATCTATCAATTAAAAAATATTCTTGTTATTTCTTAACCACTTACGCGTGGCAACGCTTGTATATTGTCGCTGTATTCTGAGTGCAGTTGGTGAAAGGAAATATTCGGGGCGAGTGTGATAAAAAATAGGACAAGAAAAATATTTTTGTGCTTTAACTTAAAATTTAAGAACACTGATTAATTGATAATAGATCTAAAATATTTAAAAATTCAAGTAAATTGTGTAAGGTGTGAGATAATGTTTGCTTTTACTGTGCTTGTATTTAATTTCATTCAAGGTAATAATGAAAATGGTATACCACATCAACTAAATAAGTTCATATTCTACATCTGCAAAAAAATTAATATGAAAAGCCTAATAGAAATTTATATATATATTATATGTATATGTTTCTTAAATATATTTATTAAAAAAATAAGTAAATCTATGTATAGGGCCAATCGCTTTCAAATAGTTTTAATTGTGTCAATTGCATTTCATCGCATAATATTCAGCTGTTCAAGTTTTCTCAATACGTTGCAATCAACACCAACAAACGAACGAATGGTCCATGGCCAACGTCAACGGAGTCCCAAATTTATGGGACACCCTTTTCTCAGTCGACGCGCAGTGCCGAGCTGTTCTCATCCTTTTTTCCAATTGTGCTTTGTGTTCATCTTCGCCTATGTGTTCGCTTCTTTGGTGCTCAGCTTCGTCTTGTTTAGCTCCCAATTCTTGAGCCTGTCGTGTGCTTTCGTTTGTGCCTATTCATTTATACACGAAGTGCATCAGGAGCAAAAACGAATGGGTGCTCAAAGTGAAACTGCCAATTGCAGGTGGTTAGTCTACAAAGCAATGCATACAACGATTGCATCTATTCGTGAAAATTGACTTTTGGGCGTTTGTTGGAGTGCATTAGTAACTTCCGCCGAAAATAAGCTTCAATGTATATTCAATGCAATTACATATATTTCTGAAAGTGCATACTGTCGTAAGTGCAGTGAAGTAAAGTAAATGACGTATGTTGTTGTGATAATATTCTGGTTTCATGTATTGCTGTCTCCTTGTTTTCTTTTGGCTTCCTGTTTTGAATTTGTAAATAAGGGCACTAAACATACACATACTTACATGTCCTTCAGGATCTAACAAATAAGTATGTGCAAAGTGTATTCAGTGATGGAAGTTTTCAAATCAACTAAGAGCATAAAGAAAGCTATGGACATAAATAGATAATGGGAAAAAAGTGGCCGCAAAAAAATTGTTGCTAACTGCAATAGGTGGTTTTCAACTTCGTGTAGACGAAGAAGCTACCGACTGACTGTTAGTCATATTTGTCCAATGGACATTAAGCTACCACAAATTGCATCTATATTTATTTCGATTAGTCGCAAAAATGCCGTGTCAATGGTGGTATTGCAAATTCTTACTTCTTTGTGTCTGCTAGAAAATAATTTTTCTGTGAGTATTAAAAATAAAACTTTAATTTTGTTTATAGATATGTGTATGCAAATACGAAAACACATGTTGTTTTACATATCCTTGTTATTTTAGTTATATATATATTTTTTTTATTAATTATTTAAAATTATCGATTTTGTCTGGAACAAAACTATCTAACTTTTTGGATATGAGTACCTAGATTTGTACACATAATTTAATAGTTCTCAGGAACGATAATAATTATATTTTTTTTTATAAATAAAAGCAAAGAATTTGAATTCAATTATTACATATATCAGACATGCGTAATTATCAGTAAAAGTTAGCAGAACATACTCAGATGCACTAAAATCCAAAAAGTTCAATAGTTAGCCAAAATAAAACCAACTAATAATTAGTTTGATTGATTTTGTTTTGGACAAAGGCGATACATTTACACAGTATATAGTCTTTGTTTAACATTTATCCACCGGAATACATAGACATGTTTTACAATTCTTCTATTACGGTGTTGTTAAAATTTTTACGGAAATATACTACATTATACCTTCCTGTACATTTTAGTTAAAATTAACTAAGCAGCCACGGAATGTTATACAGAAATTCTAATAGTATACTGAAGCATATTCTGATATTTGGGATCTTCTATGATACTTTAGCTTCTTTTATTAATATTGAGTTTTCTTAAACGTAACTAACAGTTGTTGACCTCAAAATAAAATTTACTTGTGTATTTTAATCAAATTAGAATTTTTTAAGTTTTTTTTACAATATTATTAATATTTTATGTGAAATTGTTATTAGAAATATGTCTGTATAACATAATGTTATTGCCGTGATTATTTATATAATATTTAGCTGTAATAGTCTTACATTTTATCATTTGCATTTTGCCTATTACTCTTAATTAAAAACAACGGAAATCTTTAATAAAGCAATTATAAAAATTGTATCAGACTGTTAGTATACCATAGAGCGCACGCGGAATGGCCACACCCATTAATTAAAGAAAAATATTGATTGTAATTATTTCATTGATATGGGGAACTTTTCTTGAGGTGTAGTTTTATGTTTCGAGAATTGCCAACGTTATTCATATAGAAATAAGCAGCAGAAAAGCATCGTCAGTTATCACTTATGCGTTAATATCTTGAGTTTATTAATTTATCTTATTTATACTGCAGGTGTAATTTCAGCCAATGCAGCCATTCCCGGTGCCCATTGTCGTGATTACAATGGAAAAATGTACGAAACGGGGATGCATTTTATGCCGGGGCCAGATACATGTCGCCTCTGTGTGTGTGAAAACGGTCTACCGAAGGCCTGTAAAATGGTATTATGTGAAGCATTTAGCAAATGCAAATCTTTTCAAGTAGGCAATGGCAACAGTTGCTGCGAGGTGATCTGTCTTGATGATCAATTCACGGATGGTAGTACTGATTTCGGTATTTGACTGGTGGCTAGTGGCATTACTGCTACACTTTCTTTATCGTTGCTCTTCTTTTTGGTAAATCGTCTGAGACAGCGTAAGATACGTGCACGTGAAAGTCGACAGAATGTCGAGGATCAGCGCAGTATTGTTGGTAGTATAGGGTAAGTATATATACGATCAAACAAGCACACAAAACAATACTTTGATTCATCAGAAAATAAAATTAATTCAAAATTGTTATTGCTCGTTACAGTTATATTGCCGGTAATATGGGTTACATGGAAGGTAACATGAGCGGCATGGATTATTCCTATGGTGGTGGCGCTTCACACTATCCACTATGGAAGCCAGCGGGTGCTTACTTTCCACGTGGGGAGGCGCCACCTCCATACGAAGAGGCTGTCGCCATATCGCAAGCAGAAGCCCTAAGCGCACAGTGCACCGTTAGTGTGGCGACGACAGCGCACCGAGCTATGGGCCTTAATGCTACTGTTACACCGGTCGAATTAAGTGCTGAAATGCGTCGCAACATGCAACAGCAGCAACAACAAACTTTAGTGCAGCAACATGCGATACATATGCATCAACCAACTACATCACACAGTGGTAGTGGTGGAAACTGTACTACTTCGCTCGCCGGAATGCCTAACACGACGCAAGCATTGCATCATCATGTCGGTGCGTTGGCGTCTACGGCACAACCGCAACAGCAACATCATCAACAATCTCACAACCAAATAACGCAAAGCACCACCAATCTAATTAACATCAATATCAATAGCGGCGGCAATGTGACGACAATTGCTACGGGTGAAAATCATCAACCGCCATATAGGTAAGCGCTTACAGGAATTAAGGAACGGTTGTTATTGAAAAAATAATAAAATCTATGTACTTTAGATGGTTACACATAAAATTTTGGTAACATTATTTATTTTATTCATATATTTTAATTTTTTATTTTTATTTGGTTTATGTTTCTTCTATACAGTTCTCAGAACACGAGTACAACCGAGAAAACATTTTTAAAATAAGTAAAAACAAAAATTACTGGAAATATAAATGTTTTTGGACTCTAAATTATTTATGTATTTACGTATGTATTATTATGTCTAAAAACTTGTCATAAGTCATGTTTTCGTGCATTACATTCAAAAAATTCGGTACCTTTACAAAAAAAAAAAACTTTTTAAAACTTTGAAGGAAATTGCCAGATTGTGTGAATAGAACAAAATCTGAGCACATTAATATTATGAAGTTTAGTTGTTAGATTTCAAAATGGTTTTGTTTAACTTTTTCATTTTGAATGATTCAAACACGTTTATGTTACACATTTGAACGTATGAATTTATTAGTTAAAAGTATAAAACTTTCGTTTTTTAAATTAAGTATCGAAGTTAATTTCTATATGGATTATTACAAATTTCAGTGTGCAACACGAAAGTGGTGGCAATGTTTTACAGGAACCACTTAGTCATCAATCGTTACAACAGCAGCCACAATTAATGAATACAACTCACATAGGCAATAGTAGTGGGGGCCGTCTCCACCTGACTGCCGCACCGCCCAGCAATTCAATTTGTGTACAGACTCTCTCAAGTGGTGTGGGTGCTCATCAGCCCCTCAGTCAATCAACGCAAATGATGGGAATAAACAAATCTCTCCACCTGCAGCAACAGCAGCAACATCACCACCAACTTACTGGTGCTAACGTCGCTTGCCAAGCTTTACAGCAGACTATGTCATCCTCAATTGGTTCTACGTCGAACAGTAACGAGTGTAGCTATAAAAATTGTCATCTGAATATCAGCGCCAGTACTGCATTGACTTCGTCATCGACCGTGGGGTCGACTGTGGGCGGATCACAGCAGCGTCGCTCCCAACGTACACTGCCAGTTCAAGCCACTCATGTTACGCAAGATATGCTGCAACATTTTGTTACAATTGCTGATGTGGAAATTAGCGGTAACACCGTTGGGTATCACTCATTGCCGAATGGGAGCGGTGTCGGCGGGGGTGACCGTGAAATGGAGCTGCTCAGTGTTGCTACCGTACCCACGTCAACGCAATATACTGGGTCTCAAATGACGGGGGCAATTTCCACACCCAGTATGGATGTGTTGCCACTGATGAGCGGGGAAATCGCCACAATTTCTAATAATACCAGCGATTCAGTCACACAAACAGCAATAAGCGCAGTCTCTGGATCACATACACTGCCGACAAATGCGCATACACAAACATTGAAAAGTAACAACAGCACCAATAATAGTAGTAGTCAAAACAGCAAAACACCCTCATCCTCACGCCGTTATCATCGTACTATACCACGATACTTTGCTCTTACCGATCCGCTGAGTGACAAAGAAGCCTATGGCATAAATAAAAGCAAATCAGAAAATAGTTCACGTGGTGGAGCGAGCAGTACTGTGTCGGCTGTAACTTCTACCAAAAAACCCACCTGTCAGTGCCCAGTGCAGCACGTGCCCATGTCATATATGGCAGCCACGCAACTGAGCAATGTCGCACAATGTCCCAGTAACAGTGCTCTTCTTTCGGCCCTAAGTAGCAAATTGAACGCAGCTTGCCAATCAACAGCGACATCTCAAACATCGCTAGTTACATCACATGGCAGCAGCAGCAACGGGCGTTCCAACACTGTTACTACATTGTGTTATCCGCAACGAGTCAAATCCTCTAATAGTCTTCTACAATCGTCAACGAACGACGTCAACAGTTTCGGGGTGGGCAGCTCCTTGAAGCGCACAATGCATACCACTAGCACCAGCACTAATACGTCAACGCTCACCAATAATAACAATAGCAACATTAATGCTACATCCATTTGCAGTTATGATACGAAAATTGCTACAATTTCTAAGCAAGTCGGTGATAGCTCAGCTGCAGATCTAGGAACAACCATAAGTAGTCATCATCATCATGCAGCCCACCATTCCCACCATTCTCATCATGCGCACAGTGTTGTTGTGTTACCTTCACAGACCCACGACGAGAGTATGCCTATAGTTTTGGGGCGTGTACATAAACGATCCATTGGTGAACGGGAGCGCGACCGTGAACGAGCACGCAGTGCCAGTAGTGGGCGTGCCAGCAGCAATAGTAGCTCACACCAGTTGGAGAATAGCGCTGCTACAATTTACTTGAACGGAAAGGTGAGTGATAGATCAGGCGAATAAGTAATTCCTAATGAAAATTAATATATATATTTAATACGCAAAACTAATTGAAATTTGTATGGTTATGTATACCTATATCATAAGTGATAAGAGACACGTTTAAGTCTGTCCGTCACATATTCCTTAACATCATAATAGTTGGACCACTGTCACGCCCACAAAACGCGAATAATCGAAAACCAGTAAATTGGCATAACAAGCTTTATAGTTGGTTTTGACGGAGAATATCGGTCAGTGTATGGGATATACAATTGGAATTCAGCGAGGGTCCTTTCCTGATAGTAGTATGTCTGTGTGTGGAACACAGTGTACTAAATTGTACTAAAATCGGATCAGTAGTTTACCTGGACAAATATGACACCTATTTTATATATGTATATATAGAAAAAGATATATAATTATATTGCGTTTATAATATTATGTGTTAAAAGAATTAATTGACTTTTTTCTGTTCAATTTCATAAATTGAACTTCGATATCAATATTGATATCATTTTAAAGCAGGTAGTAATTTAAGATTCTTTGCCTAATATGTGTACAAATATTTGCCGACTGAAATCAATCCTGTGTATGCATATTACGCATGCTACATAAATGGGAATAAATTAGTATTTTTTATTATTTAATCTTATTAGGGCGACGCATACTTGAATTTTCCCCATCCACAAAATTTCAGCAATCGCAATTCACAACAGCAGCAGCAGAATTACCATCAACAACAACGAACCAACGAAACAAATCCTATATTACCACCGAAACTACACAAATCTCTAACGAATTTAAAATCTACAACCAACAACAATCATAGTATAACGACCACAGCAACAGAGATTTCATGTGCTGCTGTTACTATACCCAACCCCACCACCACTGCCACCACCTGTTCGAGTTACACAACCGTGCAAACGGTATACACTCTCAGCAAACCATCCACATCGGCCGCAGCACATGTGAGCCGCAAGGAGCACCAAACTATCCATGAACCAATAAATGGCAACGGCGGCACCAGCAGTTGCAGCAAGAACTCTCCGCTTTCGCTCACTCTGCCGCTTTCGCCGGGGTTAGCAAACAATTTTGGAGGTGTGAGTACAAGTACCAGTAGTGGTTGCGGAACTAGTTCTGGCAACAATACTGTAGGTTCACAAACGCATTCTTCTGAAAAGTCAAGTAAAATCAATTCAAGCACATTTTATCCACTGCAAAATAATCATGTGACATACACACTGCCAAAATATATAAGCGGCAAAGTATCGTTGAATAGCACCATAGCCAGTGTAGTTAGCAAGGTGCCTTCAGTGATCAGCATACCAGTTAGTGGCGGCGAAGTCGATTTATTTGAGAATAACAACAGCTGTGTATACGCCTTAAGTCACAGCAATTCAACAAATAGCAAACATGAACCCACAGCAATGTCCACGTCGAAGAGTAGCAGTTCAAACGGTCGTAGCACAACATTGCCAAAGATTTTGCGTGCCAAAAAACAGCAAGACGTTAATGCTACCAACAATTGTAATAGCAATATTGGCAGCAGCACCATAAAACATAGTACAGCTTCTGGAATCACAACAGCAGCTGCGTCGATATCGTCGGTATCCCAATGCAATATGCCCGTCTATCCCCAACAGTCCACTAGTTCACATGTCAAACCAACCGCAACGGCTAATGCAACAACGCAATTCAATTCCATCATATCTGATGGTGGTGTTCTGTCTTCTGCCAAACATTTACCAGTCTGTACCACTTCGAAGAATTGCCAAAATCCAAAGGAGCATTTTTTGCCAAACGACACTAGTTTGGATGATGATTACTTAAGCGAGTGCGAAAATTGTAAAATTGCGCAGAGTGCCAAATATTATTTAAATGCTGAAGAAGTGGGGGCAATACCACAAGAGACAATGACACTACAGCGCAAATCGATGGACGACAACAAAGAGGAGCAGGAGCAGTCGTATTATCGAATTTCGCACACGCTACCAACGAACCCCAAGAAGAATGCGTAAGTATATTCTAGACTACAATATATATCTTTGCAAATAAATTTTTATAAAAATTTATAGAGACTGCTTCAGAAAACCGAAGCATCGTGTAGACAGCGGCTGTTCGTTATAAATAAATATATTTTATATAATATATAGTATATGTCTTATAAGCTTTTATATAATCTATTTGTTTGTATGTTTTTTTCTTCGTTAATGATTCTAGTCCAGTCAAAAATAACAATCGTGAGCCATGGTTTTCTACAATCCCAGCTAGCTCGTCATCCGAAGAGGATGTCAATGAATGAGATTTAACACATTTTCTTTAAATAAAGAATTACCAAAACCCAAACGCACCAGAAAATACATATACGCACACACAAATACACGTATATAAGGAAAACGGCTTTTGGATTTGGCAAATCAAAAAGTTGGAAGTATGTAAACGACAGTACGAACATTAAATGTAATATCTGCACAGCGGGTAAATCTAAGTAAGTATTCAAATAATACACACATGTATAGAACACACAGTATCTTTGAAATGTATTGGAAGTAAAATTAAGATAACCTTGCAGTAGATACTTACACAATTACAAGTAAAGAAAAGTCAAAAGCTCTTGAAAATACTGGAATAAAAACTTTTTGAGTATTTCATAAAAGAAATAGATACAGGAAAGAATATATTGTTAAATCTTCTTTTTACTCTTCGCACGTTTCATCAGTATGTTGCAAAATAAGGCTAAATGAAAAAAACGTATGGCAAGCCTTTCGACATAACGTATATAATAAGTTAAAATGTTGTTATAGAAAACACAATATATAATTATACAATTAAGAGATACCAAAAATTTAATGCCGAAATTTAATGTATTCTTATGTATAGAAAAACGTTCATTAATTGTGCGCTTCAATTAACTAACAATTAAGACAGGAAAATAGTTTTCGTTGAGCAGATATTCATACAATAAGCTAAGTCAAATCTGCTTGTATTCAATATTTACATGTATAAAATAAAAAATTACAAAAAAAAAAAAAAATAATAAAATTAGCATATAATTATGTTCCGATACGATAGGAAAACATTTGGGGATGATCACATTGCTAGCGGTTCACATTCCAATGGGAACGAAATTCGCATAATTATTTATATATATATACTCGTAGATTTAAATGACGCAAGAAAACTTCTATTCCACTACCTACAGATTTTATTTTGTTCAATGAACAAGAGCGATTTTTGAATATTTTGCAAAAATTGTTTCTTAAATAATCGATAAATCATATATGTATGTATGCGATCAATGCTTAAAAATGGGAGCAGTATTTTGAATATCCTTTCTAAAGTAAAAATTGTATAATATGTCTTGATAAAGCCACAGGAAAATAGTGTATGTGAATGCCAAAAAAGTATAAATTAGCAAATGTATATTGCTTAAAGCATGCCATTTGGAAGCATTAATAATGTGATACTTCCGGCTGGCGCAATTATTTTAGATATTCTCAGCTGACACTTTACAGTGATGCCTTAACCTTGGGAGCATTTCGCTCTGATATTTTGGTGCGATGAATCCGAATATAATATTTTTGACACAGTCTTCATTAGAGAAAACATCAACAAATTAACAAAAACAGTAAATATATTTGAATTTGAAAGTGATTCCAAATATTCATTTGTTATTTATAGATTATAAACAAACTTTTCATGCTGTTATAACAATGTAAATATTACGTTTAAGAACTTTGCCCTGATTATTTCTCTTTCAACAATAATTTTTGTTCTTTGAATTGAATTACTTTTGTGAATGCCACATGCTGATCCATGTTTCCAATACCAGGGTCAACCTATTACTGATCCTTCTTCAAGACTGAATGCTGGTGGTCACTTTTTATTTAGTGTCCACGTGTCCTCCAAATATATGATTGTCTATTTGATCTAAAAATGAAACTCTTTATTTCTACACTCTGTTTACAATAACAAAATGTATGAATATCCTTGTTCAAGTGAAGAGAAAGAAACAAACTATCTTGACAGACTTCTTTCTTTAAGACACAGCTGATATTTTGCCATTATCTACATTATTAAAGTTCTATTACTATACAAGGCACCTTTTTTATGTAGCCCACGTAGTGTGAAATCTCGAAAAAAAAAATATTTTTTATAATTCTTCATCTGCCGACCAAATGCTGTTGTACTATTCAGAAATCTCCGTTCTCCATTGATCTAATGGTGATAGTTTTTCCGCAAAAATAAATGACAATTTGTTCAAAAACGGTACACAGATAGTCGTATTGTTCACTTCTGATGCAAACGTTATTTGTTCGAACAAATCTAGGTCTATAAGACTTATGTATTGCATTCTAAGTAAACTCTATTTTCTCTCCTCTTTTTTAACATTTGTAAATGTAAACATTTAATACTTACACATCTAACCTCTTGAACCCAGTTTCAATTACTTACCTGCCTTTCGGTAACGTGTCATTACTTTCATGCCCACAAAACCATTGCTCGTCTCTAATGTCAACAGAAATAGCCTGTAATTTTATTATTTCATAAAATGATTTGTTCCGTATGTTATCGAAATAAAGTCATATGATAATTAGAATTATCCTACATTTTATCCATAAACATGTCGAAGAGATGTGCGAATATATTCGTAAAAATATAGATTTTTACATGGATGTAAACAAAAATTGTCAATCCTATTAAAAATAATGAATTTACCATACTTTTATAGTTCAACTGATAACGACGACGTATCTAACTGCTGTAAATTTTCTTTCAAAGTCGGTCCTTTAATGTCTATTGTAATCAATTACATTTATATATTGTGCTTTGAAGGAAAAAAAACGCGTAAACTACATTACTTTAAAATACTCCTTGAATAGTCATTAAAACTGTATTGTACGGCTAAGATGTGTGATATGTGACTGATAGTCGGAACTTAGCACTGCATTTATCTGCATATACTCAGTGTTTAAGTCAATTAAAAGTTATCTTGAACTAAGTACATTATTTATCATTTAACATTTATACTAACATGTTTGTTCCATATACGGAATTTGGATGGAGCCTCCCTGTTAATTACCATGGACTGATGGGCGCAGTTTTCGCTTTTTCTTTGTATACAAGATTAAAAATGCTTGTTTATTTTTTTCTAATTCTTTCTTTGCAGTGGTGTTCTTTCTTTACATAAATATTTTTCTCCTATAGAAATAGGATGGTCAAAAGTGAAAATATCCGATTTAAACGACTAAGAAACTTTTTCGAAAAAGTTTGTGAGGGTATCGCTCACGTTACAAAGGTTGTTGATGTTACACTGAATGAGTCCATGTTTAATGACCGCCTTTGCTCCACATATTCATATGTAAGATTTGGGTATAAGTCAAATGACTATAGCTGCAATTCTACCTAAACCTATTAAATATAAAAAAATAATTAAGTGCCAATAAAATAATCCAAACAATGTTCCCACTTACAGAATGATTACAATAAAATGTTCAAACTTTTTCCACACCTTGCAATATATCGCAATTTGCATCAATAAAATATCCATCTGAAATGGTTACATATCGTTCTCGAACAAGAAAAAGACTTTTACTGAACTGTTTGCTTTGGACACGCTTGCAACAGTACCATATGAAACGCATCTTGTGAATAGATTATCACAGATCATCTCCATAATGGATTTTTTAGGCGCGAGTACTCACCCCTGAATCACCGTTGAAACCTTTGTTTACTTTTAGTTTAAAAAAGTTTATGTTTTTTGTTTAAATGGGTGATCGAAAGCGATTAATAATGAAAATCCTGTCCGTGGAACTCTAGCAACCGCACCAGAGCCGCAATAATATATTGTACTCCTCGGTGTATGGCAGCAGCCGTTCGAACTGAAGTGTTTCGATGGCAAGGTCTTCTGTTGACTGTCCCTTGCTCGGCAAAATTGTTTACAAGTCTCATTATGGTCCATCTGCTCGGAGGATTGCCGCCAAACGTGCGCCTATACTCTCTTTGAACCGAAATTACGGACTCCAGTGCGTGATAGCGGCCGACAATCCAAATTCTAGTTTCAGTGTCCCAGTTATCCATTTTTGTTAAATGTAAAAGTCAATCTGCAAAATAAAAAAAAAAATTAACCGGATTCATTAAATAGAAAAAAAGTTATTTAATTTTTTTTGGTGGCGGCTTTCATCAGCCTCCCTATATGCTAAAACAGCAATTTATTAGAATAGCTCAAGCTATCAAGCTAAAACTTGTTCTTGCCAAACTTCAATCCAATCGTTTCCTAGTTTTTGCGCTTTATTTAGTTACCGTTTTCTTAGGAAGAACGATAAAATCGTAGCTGATGAGTTGTAGGTTGGTTTTGCTTATCCTCTCTTGTTGATGCTCCATTTAAGTTTGTATCTTTGTTATTGCAGTGCCAGTTGGGTTATAGCTTCGCCACTGTTGCTGTTCTTGTCTTATTTTGCACAAATTAGACAAGGTGTTCTCCGCATTTTCCAAACAAACACAATGCAGTAGAAATCGAGTTATTACTAGGGCACATAAATATTAACATGACAAGTGTCTCAAATAAAGATACATAACCTAATTCGCGATTTCGATTTTTACTGGAGACCCATGGAAGTCATGTCTAAAAACCGATCTTCTGAATGCATAGCATGACAATACAAATATTTCCTGCCCTTCTCCAATAGCGAATGCGACTTCTATTTGAATCCAGTCGTCAGATTCAGAGCGCAAACTGATTTCGTTCTCTCCCTCCTTGCAGAAATAAAAATATACTTTAATTCGATATTTCGTTGCAATTCCAATATGGAAACCTTAAAAACGAGATTTCGTAATTTTTTATTTGAGGTATTGTCGATACTATTTATTCGGTAGCTCGAAAGTTAAAGAATATGATATTAGGTGGCTATTTCAAATATTAATAAAATACATTTTGCTTCGGGCAGCTACGGCATAATTAATATTTTGTTATTCTAACACAAGTTGTTTGTGCCGTAAGTAACGAATATTGTCAATATAAATGGATTGTCAGAACTTCATTGTTTTATAAAATATCTATCATTAAACTTTTTTTTTTGTTTTAAAGAACACATTGGAAGGAATTAATAGTGGGACGTAGCAGTGTCACTGCTGAAAAAACTTGAATTATTGCCTGGTATTCAACAGTACATACACATGTGGTCACTAAAATAGGTACCACCAATTCTAAAGCTAAATAAGCGATTTTTTTTAAACAATTAAGAGGTTTAATTTTTTTTTTTATAAATTATTAAATTTCATCCTACGGCAGATTTCCTCAAATATTTAAAATGGGGTTCATGGCAGGCGATTGGCTGGCCAATCCATGACGTTAATGTTGTCTTTACGAAACCAATCCTTTACTAGCTTTGATTAATCTTTTGGGTCGTTATCTTGCATAAGCCTTTCTGGCAATTTGTGAAAACCATGCCAATAGAAATGATTGTCTTTGAAGCAAACCAATCAGACAACTATGATTTTCTTTCGTATCTTTGAATCAAAATTTCTTGGCTGCCATTTGTTTTTGACTTGAAAGTATCATCTTCATCCGTGATAATCCACGTCGAGAGTTGTGAAAAATGATCGCACGAAAATGTTCACGAGTTAATTCCATTTTTTGGCCGAGATGACTTTTTTAATTCCCTGTAAATAAAACAATTCGCGATTAAATGACAAAACGTTCTGAGTGATGTTATGCTAAAAAATGTCAAACTTTCCAATGGTAATGTCAGATTGCACCTGGCAACACTTAGTGTTGCCTAGGCCAGAAATATATATAGCAGCCTCCGTAATGCTTATAGTTCTACAAACTTTTGTGGAGGTCTTCAACGTTCTTCATTTCTCACATCAAAATCATCATCTCTGAACTCGCTGATATTAATTAAGGGGATATTCTAGTCTAGAAGTGCTATTTAACGGCATTTTTTAAAGTCCAATAAAAAAAAAACTAAGAATATTTTTACTATCCAATTTTTTATCAGATATTTTAAGAATACAAAAAAAAAATAAAGAAAAAAAAAAAGAAGATTAATTGCGGCGTGGTGGCGTGGCGGGGGTTGAAAATAAGGGTGCGCCCTTCCTGGCACGATTCCAACACTTTGGGTGATCTGAAAAAAAATTTTTTTTTTAATCAGTACAAATGCCGCTATCCCTCTTGGCAAGAGTCACAATTAAATTGTCGGTAGTAGATGAGGTTATTTTTAATGCCAATACCTTCATCTTGTAATTTTTGGGGCTTCATGGCAATCACAACCAAAATTTTCGACCTTCCCAGTAATTTAACACTGTATTTGCATGTTTTGTTTTTTTGTTTTGCGTGTGAAGATTAGGAACAAGTGTTCGTTCCTCAGCTGTACAGTGTCGCGCACGTCCCATCCATTAAGACATTAATATTTATTTTTGTTAATTACACTATTTTCAACTTGACATTTTACGTTAGGTTCAGCATAATAATGAATTCGATCAATAAAATCTAGGTGCCTATTTTAGAGACCACATGTGTACATATGTACACAAAAGTAGGGGCGCAAAGAAGCAAACAATATATTCTTTAAGTGCTTATGGTAGCTTAAAATGTATTTGTTAATGTGGAAATCTCAAAATTATTTTCAAAAATAATGCAAACGAATAAATTTTCCTTAGAAGTATTTTAGTAAAGAATAGTTTTAGACACGTACTTCAAAGAACTGTATATGGTATTACTTATAAATTATGGTAAGGTAGTGATCGAAAGTATGTTTCAGCAACCAGTATTAAGCGGGAAAATAGTAAAACCAAATATAGAAAAAATGTGTGTATACAACTCGTAAAAATCGCAAATAAATGCATTGTTTTCAAATTTTAGAAAAAAGTCACAAATTATCGTTATATAAGTATATTTAAAATTGAATATATACATTAATTGCAATCAAGCAAATTAAGCAGTATAGCAGTATAGGAGTATAGGAATGTACCAAAGTCTTAAAATAAATATAAGCAAATGTTAAATTAGAAAGCCAAATTATGAAAATTGAAGCAAAACGAAAAAGTTTCGAGAAAAATATAAATCGAATTGGATTTAGATGTAAGAATGTAAAAGAACTACCATAACATGTAACATAAAATAATAAATAAATAAATCGAAAAAATCACTTTTCATTAACAGAGCGAAAGATTGGTAAGTCAATCAATATACAACCTCCAATTGCTAAGTAGTTGTTCGGTTACACTCGAATTAAGCCATTTTACTTGTTAAAACCACTCACGTGATCCCCACTTTTACGAACATATGCAAAAAATTATGCGGAAGGTTTTAAGGTTTAATAAACAAGGAGGACTACAAACTGTCCAGTTCCCTCAAAAAAAAATGATATCAAATACCAAGAAATCTCCACATGGAGGTGAATGTAAAATTGGAACATCTGCACCAAAGGTATTTGCTCAAAAATAACCCAGTAAATTAATGATATGAATATGAAGCGGTGTTAACACCATGTCCGCAAGGAACGATCAAATCAAAGCTTTGTACTCACTATAAACGAATAGCACAGTGCAGATGGAGATCAATAACCAACTGAAAGATAACTTAGTAGGTATGGCACAAATATGATAAGTGATAGGTCCAGGAATAGAATTTTCAGGCTTACATGACCACTGGCCGTTTGGAGAACACGCTCACTGGCTGAGAAGCTCTAGAACAAACCAGACAAGGAAAATCTCAGGCGTTTATTGAGATATAACATATCTATGTTTGACACATGTCTCTGTGTTTACCTCGATAAGTCCTTATTTTGTTTTTCTAAAAAAAAACCGATATAAATATACAGTGATGAACAAAAGTATTGGCACAGCAAGATATCTTGACTTTAGCACTGTTTTTTACCATTTATAAACTAAGTTTTGAACACCAAAAGAAAGTCCTTAGTTAGAATGAATAATTATCAATTATATTTTCTTTAATTCATTTAATTATCTCTCACATTTACTTGATAGTAATTATACTTACTGCTACTTCGGACTGAGTAGGCAATTGAGAAGCAAATTCCTCTCTCGACAAACAAAAACCAAACTCTATAAGTCACTCATAATACCCGTCCTGCTATATGGTGCAGAGGCTTGGACGATGACAACAACTGATGAG